GAGTGTGGCGGGGGTTGGGGAGGGGATGGGGGGATGAGGACACATATGTAATACCTTAATCAATAAAGAAATTTTAAAAACTAATAATAATAAAATAGAACAATGTACTGTAATAAGAGTTACGTGAATGTGGCCGCTCCCTCCCTCCTTCTCTCCTAAAATATCTGATAACGGCGGTGGCTGCTGAGTGACTGGCAGTGGTGTATACAGCTAAAGGATGATTCATGCCTGGGGCAGAGATTTCATCACGCTACTCAGAATAGCACTCCATTTAAACTTATGAATTGTTTATGTCTGGAATTTTCCATTTAGTATTTTCGGACCAACGTTGACCGCAGGTAACTGACACGGGGGAAGCAGCACTGGGCGGGGGAGGGGGATCCTGCTGTCTGCAGAAGAGGGGACTCAGGAACTGTCCCAGGACTAAATGCTGGACAATCAGGGACCTTTAACGACATGGTTTAGGTTCTAACCTGGTTTTTGTCTTTTATTTATCTTTTTAGGTTTCTTGTTTTCCTTGCTACCACTGGCCATGAGTAAGGGCAGAATCCAGGCCTCCCCTTCGAGTACCTCCCACCCTCCAGGCCTCACCACAGGCTCCTTAGGGGAGCCGTCAGCACTTTGACTGGGGGCTTTGCTTGCAGTCAGTTTGGAGGTTGGGGAAGAGACAGGCCATTCATTTCCTTTTTGAGAAAGTGTATCAGGAATGCCTTCAAAGGACTGAACTCATCGTGTGTGTGTGTGTGTGTGTGTGTGTGTGTGTGTGTGTGTGTACTTTCTTTGGTAGAAAAAAAATGGCCCTGTCCTTATCAAATCAATACCAAACACTTATTCACTGCTTGTGCATAAAGCATCCCGCTAGCCACTGGGCGGGAATCATGATAAAAGCAATAACAGTTGAGCTCTCCCACATCCACACGTGGTTCTTACACGGTATCCGTGTGTCACTCATTACATCACCAGGGCCCTTGGGGGTAAAGACTGTTGCTATCCTTGTTTTTTTCTTTTTCTTAGAGCAGCGGTTCTCAACCTGTGGGTCGTGACCCCTTTGGGGGTCGAATGACCCTTTCACAGGGGTCGCCTAAGACCATCGGAAAACACATATAATTACATATTGTTTTTGTGATTAATCACTATGCTTTAATTATGTTCAATTTGTAACAATGAAAATACATCCTACATATCAGATATTTACATTACGATTCATAACAGTAGCAAAATTACAGTTATGAAGTAGCAACGAAAATAATTTTATGGTTGGGGGTCACCACAACATGAGGAACTGTATTAAAGGGTCGTGGCATTAGGAAGGTTGAGAACCACTGTCTTAGAGGGAGTGGAAGGGAGGGAGGGAGGAGGAGGAGAGAGAGAAACACATGGATTGGTTGCCTCCTGCCAGCACCCCACCTGGGGCTGGAAATCGAACCTGCAACCCAGGTATGTGCTCTTGACTGGGAATCCAACCCATGACCCCTCCGTGCCCAGGTCGACGCTTTATCCATTGAGCCACACCGGCCAGGGCGCTATCCCCATTTTAAGGATGAAGAAACGGAAGCATTTGCCCAGTCACAGAGCTAGTGGTGAGGAAGCCAGGCCCCGGGGCTGCCACTCTCCCGCACACAGCAGCAGCCTCTCTCAGGGAGGGCAGAGAAAAAGCTGCCTGGGAGGTGGTGTGCCTGTGTGTAGACAAGACCCCCCAAGCTGCCGGAAGGGAGGCAGCCAGGCAGGGCATGGTTCTGTCTATGAGTTTCCTAGGGCAGCCGTAACAAAGCCCCACAGACTGGGAGCCTTAAACACAACAGAAATGGGTTCTCCATTTCGGAGACTAAGTCCAACATCAAGGTGTGGTCAGGCCGTGCTCCCCGTGAGCCTGGGTAGAATCCCCCGCCCCCTCCCCAGCTTCTGGCGGTGCCCTCAGTCCTTGGCTTGTGGCTGCCTCCCCCCAATCCCAGCTTCTGACTCCTCTCTACCTTCCCCGGGCCTCAGAAGGACAGTCATAGGATGGGGCCCATGCCAAGCTCCTTTGGTCTTATCATGATCCCTTCTGCAAACACTATTTTCCAGGTCATATTTGCCACATGGGGGTTAGGACTTCACCCTGTCTTTTTGGAGGACACAACTCAACCCACAACGGCATGGAAATGGAGATGCTCTGCAAGGAGGAAGGAGTCCCTGGCCGCACCCTTTCAGGCGAGGAATGCAGGGAACAGGAGCCAGTGCGGTGGACAAGGCTGAGGCCAGCAGAGAGGAAGGGGGCCTTCAGCACAAGGAGGAGCGTGTCAGCCGGGCAAGGTGAGCAGCCAGGTTGAGGAGATGAGCGTTAGCGGAGGGGTAGACTCGCAGTCGAGGTCACGATGGTGGGTGGGGGCCAGGCCAGAGAAGGTCTCCTGCAGGGACTTGGGTCTCAAACTTGAGCTGCAACAGGATCTCTTGGCGGCTAAAACTGCGTGCTGCGAGGTCTGGTTCAGTGAACCTGGGTGGTGCCTGGGAACGTGCATTTTAACCCGTCCCAGGGGCGGCTGCTGCTGCTGGTCCAAGCACCTCACGTGGAGGAATTCTCTCTGGATGCTGAGACACTGAGGCCCTAAGGATGCGGTAGGAAGTGGGGAGTCGCTCCAGTGACGGTCACGGTCACTAGAATGCAGCCGGGTGCGGACAGGGCCATGCGTTCTCTCCAAACGCCTGAGGGCATCATGAGGACTAAATTAAGTGGAGGAACCTGATCTCAAAGTTGGGTGCCCTGGAGTCTCTGGGAAGTCAGGTTCTGGCGCCTTAGAGCAGTGGTTCTCAACCTCGGCTGCACATTAGAATCACCTGGGAATCTTTTTAAAATCCTGATGTCTGGGCCTCATCCTCTGGAAATTCTGTTTCTTTGTTATGGGCTGGGGCCACAACATTAGTAACAAAGAAACAGAATTTCCGGAGGATGAGGCCCAGAAATCAGGATTTTAAAAAGATTCCCAGGTGATTCTAACGGGCAGCCAAGGTTGAGAACCACTGGCTTAGAGGCAGGTCTGCCCCCTGCTCCCTCCTAGGATGTGCGCTTCCCCAGCAGAAGGCAGGCTGCGCTAAAACAGTCCGTGAGGAGCCTGCACTCCTTGCTTCACGGGAACAGCAGTCTTCCCTATAAAGACATTTGCATGCGCACGGGGACAGTACATCTGCGCATTCCAGCAGCAACGCCACAAAGTCGGGCCTACTGTCAGCAGGAAGCTGTTCCCTGGAACACACAGAGCTTTGTTCTCATGTGAATGGATCAGAGATCATCCCTCCAGTGCCTGTCGGGACTGTATTTGTATTAGATAAGATACACTGTTTGTTTAAGTAACAATAAACCCGAGGAACGTGAGGAGGGATGGAGAAAGGTGCTGTTTATTCCAAGAGCACATTGTAGAAACGTAACACCCCTTGTCAAGTGACTCCAAACCTCGGAGCAAAGGGAACAGCTGGGAGGGTGCCCCAGAAGCCTGGCTGTCCGCTGTGGAGGGAGCCACAAAACGCCGGCAGTCTCCCCAGACACGATTCTGCTGGAAGCGACTCTGCAGACAGAAACGCTGTGCTGTGGGGAGATGCTGTCCCTTGTTTTTCTGCCTTTGGGTGCTAAGCAGGGCCCCACCATGTTGCGTCAGAGCTGGTGGCGACAACTTCAAATTCACGTTTGCAGGTTGGGGTGGGCGGTGGGCGGTCAAGAGCTCCCAGGTGACGCCCATCTCCCCTCCTGCACACACTGGGCCTCCCTGGCCTAACAGACTCGCTTCTAAATGTCCCCTGCGGCCCCCACAGCTGGGAAGAACACATAAATGTCGCGTCCTTCCAGGGAGAGCGAACTCCGTCATTTGATAAGGTTAGCTTTATGAGTCAGGCTTAGTTGGAGACGAGCAAACAGCTCATTTGTGGATAAAAACTGCCGTGCTGTTCTTAGGTTCCGGACAGAGCGAGTGTCAGTGTATTACATTATAGCCCAGAATTATCGTCCTGCATCTCCCCTCTCTCGGGCACCAGACAGAGCGAACCTAGTGTACAGTGTACGCAGCGGAAGTTGGCGACTTTCAGATCAGGGCCCGTCCCGGGGTTCCCAGCAGATGTTGCACAAGGACAGGTGGCTACAGCAGGTTAAGGTGCAGAGAGAGAGAGAGATGCTACCCCGTGTATCCATCTTTGTTTTGCCAATTGTGGGTGCCAGACCTTGACCCTTTGACAGGAGCCAGAGTGGGAATGGCCACAGGCAGTGTTCTCTGCTTCGCCTCCAGCTCAGGGTGGGGCTAAGTCGGGAAGTCTGGTTGCAAGAGAGATGTGAGGAGTGGAGTCTCCCTCCCTCCTCCAGTAGGGCAGGAATGGTTAGGCCTGGCGTGGCCTCCTGTTCCAGGTGTCCAATGGTCCCAGCACCCTTCCAGCTACCTTTGCTTTCATTTTTCATTTTAAAATATTTTTAAATCTTTTAAAATATATATATTTTTATTGATTTCAGAGAGGAAGGGGAAGGGGAAGAGGAAGGGGGGGGAGAGAGAGAGAGAGAGAGAGAGAGAGAGAAACATTAATAATGAGAATCATTGATTGGCTGCCTCCCACAGGCCTCACACTGGGGATCGAGCCTGCAACCCAGGCATGTGCCCTTGACCGGAATCGAACCTGGGACCCTTCAATCCGCAGGCTGACGCTCTATCCACTGAGCCACGCCGGCCGGGCCATTTTAAAATATTTAATATTTGTCTCTTGCAGGGCCCTATACTAGCTAGTGCCATGGAGGAGATAAAGAGCCATACTGCCTTCTACCCTGCAGAAGCAGACACACGCGCAGAGCGGAAATAAATTGGCTGTTGAGGAGCAAGCAGAAAGCAGCCCCTGCCAACAGGGTGTGAAGGACAGGCACTTTCAGAGGTAAGGAGATCACCTGGGTTGCAGAGCTCAGCCTGGCAAGAGGTGGAGCAAGAGCTGCCAATCCTTCCCTTGTCCAGCAGTGTTCCTGCATGAGCTCAGCCCCCCGGAGCTGGGTGTGGTAGGCTAACCATCACCCCCAAAGGTGCCCACAGCCTAATCCCCGGGGTTCATGTGAATGTTACTTTACATGGCAAAGGGCACCTGGCCAGTGTGATGGGCAGAGTATCCAGGGTCCTTACAGGAAGGAGTCGGTGGGGTTGCATTCCAGGGACGCTTCGCGGCTGGCTTTGAAGATGGGGGATGGCGCCATGAGCCTAGGTGTGCAGGTGGCCTTTAGAAGCTGGAGAAGGCAAGGAAGTGGATCTCATCTAGAGTCTCCAGAAAGAATGCTGTCCTTCCAAAACCTTGATCTTAGCACAGTGAGATCCATTTTGGAATTCTGACCAGAATTATACGAGAATAAATATGTGCTTTCTTTCACCTACCAAGTTTAAAGTAGGTGAAATTTGTTACAGCAGTGAAGCTAATACAGATACACAATTATGGTCCCCTTGGGGCCATCATGGAATCGCATGCATCTGTACACAGCGATGGTACAAGACCCCCTTTCATAACTTGGCTTTACTGACTAGAGACATCCCAAACAACCACAAGCAACCCAGCGTGGAGAGCTGCTGTGGCTACTACCCAACCACTGTGGGTCCAGCTCTGCAAAAACCTCTTCAACTCGGGCGCCATTGCAAAGGCAAATAAATGTCAAGGCTGCATAAATCTCTAGGGCGAATCGTTGCCAATATGCTGAGATCAGGGGTCAGGCTGGGTTTGGGAGTGTGTGTGTGTGTATGTGTGTGTGTTTGACATCCCATGTCTGGTTAATCTCAGTCATTCTGGGGCTGAGTGTTTACATTTGCTCTTCAGCAGAACAACTTGGGCCCTTGAGGGAGAGTGTGCAGCCAAGCCCGCCTCCCGGTGGTTACACTCACAACCAACCGCCAGTGGACTTCATGTGGGGCCACGACTAACGCTCTGATCACATGCATCCTTGCCTATGACTCCACATGTGGCAAGACAAGTGGGAACGTTGCAGGCTGGTAAAGAACGTTTGTGGTTCAAACACCATTTCTTACCAGCTGGTTAAAGGCATCCAGAAGCAGTTGGCCCGGGCGACCGGGGCAAAGAGCCAAGGAGGCCAAGGCCAAAATTGAGGCCCCAGGGCCAGGTGGCCTGTCCTACCGCAAGCTGGACTTGGACTCTGCAGTCAGGGCCTGCAGTCCAGGGGAGTGCTGTGGCCGGAGGCAGGAGGCGGGGCGGAGGCCATGGGTGCACCAGTGCCACGCCAGCAGGAGCAGGGCCAGGGGCGGAAGGAGGGCCAGTGCCTCTCCGTTCTGTGCTTTCAGGATTAGAAGCCCGTGTTCCTCTCGCAACCCCGCCCCCACTCTTGTTCTTTCATGAGGTCTGTAAAAGCACTTAGGAACCTTCCTTGTATGAAAGTAAAGATTATTTCACTTCAGTATTTCATTACTGATCTTCCCCCCTCCATTTTCACTGTGGCCTGTTTCACTCTCCAGTTTTTCCTTAATGTGTTGCTTTCCTATTCTTGTGAACAATCATCTCTGAATTATCGACATTAATGGAGAGAAGACTTCAAGGAGAGCAGTAATTAGATGAATTATGCGGTGCTGTAGTGCTTTATAGATGGAAAGGCGATAAAGGAAGGTTTTTCTTAGCAGGGTGGGTCGTCACCTAACTGCCTTCGGCTCAGATGACAGGCTCCTGTCTGCCGACGGCCACAGGGACAGGCGCCCACAGGAATCGGGACGAGCCCAGCCTGCCTGCACTGGGGCCACCTGATGCTCAACCAAAGCCATTTGTTTTGCTCCCAAACTTGCTTAAGGTGGGTGTACTTATAATCTCATTGCATAGTTAAATATTATATAAACTGGCATAGAGAGGGCAGCAAGAAAGATGCCATGTCCATGAAATCCAAGTTAAACGCTGTATAGAAGGAATTGATAAAGAAAGTTAAGTCTCTCAAACTCTTGCTGTTGAATTGGGTGTGGGTGAGCCAAGATTGGGCAAGAAAAGGGGAGGAAAAGTAGAGGACTAAGCACTGTAATCTTTGCACGTGCTCCCTCCACGGTAAGTAAACAACACACACCACAGATCCTCCTGGGTGTGTCTTCTTGCTTACAATTCAATAGCCATAGCCCTACACCCAAAGACAGGTAACACAAACCACAGATCCTCCTGGGTGTGTCTTCTTGCTATAAAGACTACAATTCAATAGCCATAGCCCTACACCCAAAGACAGGTGATACTTTTACATTCATATGGATTTTAATTTAAATTAAGGTATTAATTTAAGGAAGCGATTAAGGTATGTGCATAACTTTCCACCACACTTTGATTAATTGTTTCAATTATGTTTCTAACTACAGATCTGGCCCAGGCCAGAGGGCCTTCATTCACCTTGAGTGACCCAGCCCTAAACACCAGCTGATTCCCCAATGGGTTGATGTAACGAAGTGTGTGCACAGAGCTCTCAGCCCGCCTCTCTCCACGTCAGGAAAGGGCTGGCCTCTCGCGGGCTGCTCTGGCTGGGCCAGTGGTCCCAGGACTTGCTGAGTGGCCAGAGGAGAGTGAGTAGTGGGGAGTGGGGCTGACCCAGGATACCCCAAGTAGCACCACTCACAATCGCCCACCGTTGACTCTGAGGCTGTGCCATGTGATATCACAAAAGTAGCAGCTTCCCTGGTCATGGAAGACGAGGGGAAGGCCAGGAAGGAGATGGCATCAGGTGCGGGCAGCGAGGGAACAGAACCCAGGGTCTGTGACTTCTCCCTCTGTTAGTAAACAAAGCAAAACAGAATGCTCACTTGCTCTTCACCAGTTAGCACTGATTTCTTAATACTTAGTTGTGGTTACTGCCACAGCCATTACTACAGTTCACCACTAGAGGGCAACAGTGTGTCTATAATGAGGGATTCTTGCAGAACCAAGGAATCACTTAGCATCAGGGCATTTTGGAGCTGGGAGAGATCTTAATCATTTGGTTCACTGGCTTTCAATTTTGTTCAGCTGAGAAACCCATAGAAAGAACCACATCCTTCAGCCCCATGAACCAGGAGGTCACGGTTCGATTCCTGGTCAGGGCACATGCCTGGGTTGCGGGCTCCATCCCTGGGGTGGGGGTGGGGGGCAGCCAATCAATGATTCCCTCGTATCATTAATGTTTCTATCTCTTTCTCTCTTCCTCTCTGAAATAATATATATAACCGCATTCTTCATAATGACCTAGTTCATACATATATATTTGAAACATTTTGAGGTACTACTTACCATATTTCTGCAATTTACCCTAATAGTTGGTATTCCAAACAATCGCAATAAAAACAAACAAAAACCACACAAAACAACTGCGACCAACTAAACTGATTCCATAGCCCACTAGTGGGCCATTTGTTTGAAAACGCTGACTTGGCCCCAGCCTCTTGTCTTACACAGGGACGTGCTGACCCCAAGGATGGAGAGGGATCCCTCCAGCTGTATTTTCACCCAACCAGCCACCTGCTCACCCTGGGGTCAGTCCTGGATGCACCACAGACACTGTGCAGCAACGGAGCACTCACTCTGAAAATGCACTTGCTAGGTCTGATCAAATAATTGAATCAATATCCCCTCCCCTAGGAACCAACCTTTAGACCACTTCACAATGGACATTCCACTTGGCTAGACCACAACCCACTGGCTAAGACCATTATCTCTCCCATCGGACTGCCCAGAATCTGGACCTGCACAGAGAATTCTCCGCCCAGAAAAAGCCCGCCAAAAGCCCTTTAAAAACTTCTGACTCCTGTCACTGGGGGCTGGAGCCATCCAGGCTCAGCCACCTGGTCTGGGGATGATTGAATAATAAATTCGTAATCCCTCACCATTCTGGCTTCGTGCATTCCTCCTTTGGTGGCCTAACAGCACTGACTGGGTAAAGAATGCAAAACTGAGTTTTGGGGCCCTACCATTTTCACTTATCAATGCCATGACTGCCCTTGTAATGGAAGCAGAAATTCCTAAATCGCTACATTGGAAGCTTCATGAGGGTGGGGTCGCTGTTCCTCACTAAGGCAGCCGAGTGACTGCTAAACTGAGTGAATCTCAGAGCCTTCCTAATGATCCCACCCCGATCTGGGTTAGGGCCATACTTACTACCTAGCCCAGAGCCTGGCACATAGTAAGTGCTCAATAAATGAATGGATGAATGGACTGTCCCTCAGCATAATGGTAACTAACCTTTTCATACTTTACAATTGGTGCTCAGATCACCTTATATGGCTCTTAAGAGTAACTGGCACGGTGGGCAGAACATGGATTATTTCCATTCCAAATGGAAAAATAGCCGGAGAAGACTCATAGGACCTTCTCTGTAAGTTATGTGGCTCATTGGAGGCACAGCAAGGGGCTGGAATGTGGGTTCCCTACAGTACCTCACCTGCTGCTCCCCCACTCACTCTCGGCCACCTCTTCTGCTTCTGCCACCCCCCAGGATCCTGGCATGCTGTTGTCACAAGTTGAAGACACAGCCTGCCCCAGGCTGCCTTGATCACCCTGGAGGTGCGCCCTCTTTAGTGGTGATATTTGGAGGAGGCAGAAAAATGGGGGAAAATAATTCACTAAATTCCTGGGAGAAACTGAAACCACTTTAGCCTCTAGAGATTCTTGGAACTGAAGTCCCTAAAGACACCTGAGCTTGGTTTTCTGTAGGGCATCCTCCCTGCTGGTAACCCGGGAGCTGGTATCAGGAACGCCCTCTTGGGGAGGTGCTTGCTCTCTCCCACTTTGATACTAAGTTCTAAGCCTCTGAGTACTCACTCATCTGTTGGGCTAGTAAAACAACTTTTTTTTCCTCCCCAAGACAGCAAGGATTTTTAAAACGGGTGACACGAATAGGTTGCCTTTTCCTAGAAACGATTTGACTTCATCATTCAATACATGTAGCCACTCTCGCTGCAGAATTAAGTCTTTGTGGAACCAGGGCTGAGCCTCCAGATGGCCTTCCCTAGCCCTGTGTCTGGCACCAGTTCGAGAACAATCTTCAACTAAAATCCTACTGCCCCGCTTTAAAACTCTACCCATTTACACACCACACTCAAGCCTAGATTCTCTAAGCCCGAGTCTGCAGGCTCTGTGGAATATTTGAGAATCAGTGGAAAGAGAAGGGTTACTTTGGGGGATCAGACTCAGGGTAGTTCTGTAACTTTGTAATCTTCTTGATGAAGAGAACAATGGAGCGCCACAGACAGCACAAAGCTACAGCCAGTGCCTGGTAATCAGCAACCCAACAACCAGCTGTAACATTCTCATTCATCCTGTTCACGTGGAAAACAGCCCTGGTTCGCTCACTCCCATCAGATTAACGCAGACGCCGAATCACCAAGGTTCCTACCCAGGGAGATGTGTAAACTCCAACCACATCCCGGAGCCTTTGCCTGGTGGCCCGCAATCGTCAAGCCAGTCTGTCCGCGGCCAGGCGTGAGTATTGGCTTAGAATTTGGAAATCCCGCCCAGGGCTTCTGCTGGAGCCACTGGGTGCTGCGCCCGCTGTGGCCACCCCAACACTTGGGCCACCCCAAGTCTTGCCTTTTGGGTCGGTTCCTCAGTTTCCCCAGACACCTCGCCCAGGTGTAGGAGACGCCCGGTGGAAAATGAATGGCCTCTTAAATGAAAGAACCAATCAGTTTTCCGCGGACTCTGAGCACGACGCGCGCCTTCCGCGCCTGGATACCTCGGGGGCGCCCAG